GAGTCCAAAAGGAGTGCTGATAGAAAAGGTACTCTATAATATAAAAATTAAACGAATAATTACATAGGTCATTGTTTATTTATTTCAGATTGCAAGAGACAAACACTAGAACCATATGATAAATAAATTACAAAATTTTTTTTTACAACTGCTTGCTTCCGGAATTAGTCGATCCGAGATTTCCAAGAGGATTACCAATAAGAGACAATCAACGAAACGAACTAATAAGCAACCAAACAAAATATTAGTTTTGTACAATTATTGTACTTTTTATTTTATTATAAAAAAAAGCGTAATAAAATAATTTATTTATTGTAAAAGTAGGTATATATATTTTTTGGCTTTGGTATGTATAAGTTATAAGCTATAAATAAAAAAAACAAGAAAGAAAATAAACTTTTATTGCTGGAAGGTCTCAAGTTCTTGAAAAACGCAGAGAGAAAGGTACTGCTCATTATTATATATCGTTATATAGTAGGCGGTGGATTTTAGTTTACTATTTTGTTTAATTTTGATTCTTTCAGAATATCTTAGGTCCAATATGAACCTAACATAACATACCGATATTTATTTCTTTTCTGATTAAAAAAAAATCAGTTAATCCCTTAATGAGTATTTGTTCTCCATAAAAGGGTAAGTACTATTTAATAGTTACACGGCAAGAAAATATGTTGCGCCTATGAATATGCACTCAACCAAGCGACGCAAGCTAGTTTAGTTTAGTTCTCTTACTTATCCTATTGGTAACTGCAATAACATACGTCTATTATTACAGAGGAAATAAATTCGCATTTGGGCTGTCAGTGCGGAACGAGAAGTAGAGGATAAGGCAGGTAGAGGTGAATTTTGCTTATCACGGGAGCTCCGGTTTCCTCTTAAGGCCGTTAAATATAAAGGAATTGTTACATAATAGACCCCAATTCATGTTAAGATTAGTTAAAAAGTTCAAAAAATCTTCTATACTAGAAAATACATTATTTACAAGAAAATCATTAAGATGTTTTCTTAAATCATTATGACTAGTATCTTCTAATATGTTACTGAACTTATTGTAACACTTAATCCCAATATATTTTGATGAATGCTGGCTTATTTGTAGTCGTGAAAAAGGTTGATGGATGTTAAATTTTAATCTAGTATCATATGACTGCAGGTTTTTATTTTTCTTAAATATATTATGCTCATTATCTTTTATGTATAAAATTAGTTGTAAAATAAAAAGGGAAGGTAGTGTTAAAATTTGCGTTTTCTTGAAAAGTTCTTTACATGATGTTGTTGGTATCACCTTATACATGGCTCTCAGAATCTTCTTTTGAGATACAAAAGCTCTTTCAAAGTATGGTGAAGAACCCCAAAATATTAACCCATATTGTAGAGTTGAATGAACCAAACCAAAAAAGCATAGTTTTAAAGTATCAAAAGATAGTGTCTCCCTTAAATTTTTGATGATATAACAACAAGTACTTAATTTTGAAGTTACCATTTTTATATGATCTTCCCAATTTAATTTGGGATCTAATATTATTCCTAAAAATTTTATGTCATCAACGCTTTGAATAGTTTTTCCGTCAACGTGCAAGTAGGGTTCGTAATCTGGTAATATGTTTTTAGGTAGAAATTGCATGAAGTTTGTTTTTGTTACATTTAATGCCAGACCGTTATCTTTACAATACTGGTTAAACTCACGAGATGCGTCGTTGCTACTTTGAGTGACCTGTTCAATTTGATCATCTGCCATTAGAATATTGGTATCATCGGCATATTGAACTATTTGTTGAGAGCTTAAACAAAAATTACTTATATCACTCATAAAAACTATAAAAAGAAGTGGACCTAAAATTAAACCTTTGGGAACTCCTATTGTACATGGAAGAGGATCAGATTTTAGACTATTTGTTACAATTACTTAAGTTCGATTCATTAAGTAAGACTGATTCCATTATCTGTAAAGCTTTCCGGATGCTAGGCTTTATTAAAAGAAATACTCAACATATGTATGATACTAAAGCAATCCTAACATTATTTAGCAGCCTTGTTAGAAGCATTCTTGAATATTGCTCTGTCGTATGGCATCCTAATTACACCTGCCACATCGAGAGGATAAAACGAGTTCAGTGTAAATTCAACTATTTGCTGTTTAAACACCACTTACCAATTAAAATTTAAATGAATCAGAAGTTAATGATTTTCTTAAGAACCTCCCTATAGTTAAATTAGTTAAATCTAACTTACACTTAATACAATTTGCTCACCTGCATTTGAAAAAAATATCTGCTGCATTTGAAAATGAAAATAATATCAGGCTGACATATTTATAGCAACATAACCTAATTTATTTTCAAAGCCAGATTTACACCATCTAATAATATTTAAATTTAGCTTTAACTTTAAATTTATTAACGATTATCCCTGTATTTGATCACATATTATATTAAAGTGAAATTTAAAGGGGTAAATCAGTAAAATTATTGATTTCTTTGTCATTATTTTTGAAAACATATTTTTTTATGGGTGTAAAACGGGTTTGAATTTAGTGATAGCAGCGCGCTAAGCGCTTACGGTTCAACTACCAACAAGGAAACAAATCCCGCCATTTATTCAAACCTTCTCTTTTTATTTTTCTATGAGCTACACTATTTTCTTTTTATATTGTTAAGCACTATGGTTGGCACAGGTTGGATATTAAAAAAATTTCCTGAATAATGTTACTTTTAAATAAATCTCCCTGCCTCATTCTCAGATCTGTTGGTGCATGTAATTTCTGAGATTTTTATTTGGAATAAACTTCCCATACAAACCTCCCCTAAAAAAAATACAGCTAGTTATGTTTCTGGCTTTAAATCCTACAGATGTGAATTTATTTGTATGGTTTTCTATAGGATTTGATGGATGCTGTATTAGCAGAAATTTAATTTCTGTTGATAAGACATCTAGATTATTAAAATCGCCATGTGTTAACGTTTCGATGATGGTAGGTGAGGTTTTCCTGCACTGCAAGGTAGGTATTAAGATGGCGCCGATGGACCGCATGCGCAAAATACTGATGAGTGTAATTATTGTAAAAAATCAGTAACTGCTAGTGTAAAATGTGAAATCTGTGACTTGAAATATCATCCATCATTTGCACAAAGAGTAAAACCAAAAGTTATTGAAAAATCTAAGACTATGGATCAAGGAAAAAGTAAAGGTGATGTATTTTGCATTGATGCTTACAACTTTTTAAAATTACTAGTGAATAACTGTGATTGTAATTAGTATAATCACCAGTCAGGAGTAATATGGAAATTAATAGAGCGTGGTTCTACTTCAGCCATTTATTAATAACTCCCTTCTACAATAATGTTAACTGTCAACTGTCCGCTCGCAGGCGGTGTTTCCAGAGTAGGCCTTTTACATCTTAACAACTAGTAGAAGAACAAAAACTAGCAAACCAATTAATGAGTGAAAAAATAGAAATCTCAAAATGAAAAAACTAAATATTCTGATCTGCAAACACAATATAACGAAATAAATCCTAAATTTATAAGAGTTGACAATAAAAATCAAAATTTATCTATCAGTGATAATAAAAGACCAGTTTTTATAGAAAAACCAAAACAAACAAAAACTGAAAGTGTAAGTATACCTGTTGGAAATAAATATTTAATACCAAACAAAAACACAAGCGATTATAGGAATGCCCCTGTACAGGATGACTCATTCCTCCAAAGGAAACAAGTTGCATTAGAACTAATGAAAATTCAAACCCTACAAAAAACTAATGAAATAATAAATCTAGCAGATGATACCAATGAGGGGAGTCATGAGAATGATTATATCACAGTAACAAGACGAAAGTTCCGAAATTAATATTATCCGTTATTATCATTCTGGAACGTTCCAGAAAATTCTAAAAATTTCTGGAATGATCTAGAAAGTTCCGAAATTAATCTGGAACGTTCCAAAAAATTCTAAAAATTTCTGGAATGATCTAGAAAGTTCCGAAATTAATAATATTGGTTATTATCATTCTGAAACGATACAGAAAATTCTAAAAATTTCTGGAATGATCTAGAAAGTTCAAAAATGTGTAAAATCGGTTATTATCATTCTGGAACGTTCCATAAAGTTCATAAAAATTCTATAATGATCGAGAAAGATCCGAAATGTGTATGAGTATTATGATAATCGATCTAAAAGAGCTAAATGTAAGTAATGTGCATCTAAATATTCTATTAAATAGAAATTTCTATTAATTATCATTCTGGAACGTTCCAGAAAATTCTAAAAATTTCTGGAATGATCTAGAAAGTTCCGAAATTAATATTATCCGTTATTATCATTCTGGAACGTTCCAGAAAATTCTAAAAATTTCTGGAATGATCTAGAAAGTTCCGAAATTAATATTATCCGTTATTATCATTCTGGAACGTTCCAGAAAATTCTAAAAATTTCTGGAATGATCTAGAAAGTTCCGAAATTAATCTGGAACGTTCCAAAAAATTCTAAAAATTTCTGGAATGATCTAGAAAGTTCCGAAATTAATAATATTGGTTATTATCATTCTGAAACGATACAGAAAATTCTAAAAATTTCTGGAATGATCTAGAAAGTTCAAAAATGTGTAAAATCGGTTATTATCATTCTGGAACGTTCCAGAAAGTTCATAAAAATTCTATAATGATCGATAAAGGTCCGAAATGTGTATGAGTATTATGATAATCGATCTAAAAGAGCTAAATGTATGTACTATTAAATAGAAATTTCTATTATCATTCTGGAACGTTCCAGAAAATTCTAAAAATTTCTGGAATGATCTAGAAAGTTCCGAAATTAATAATATTGGTTATTATCATTCTGGAACGATCCAGAATACTCTATATACCGTAAGTTTAATGGTCGAATAAGTTTTAATGTGTCTTCATGTATTTTTTACACCATTAAACATGCGGTGTATATTTTAACCCGTGCAACGCCGGATTTCGCAGCTAGTATTTTAATAAAAAAAAAAAAAAAAATACCAAGTCATCCTTTAGACGAGCATATTTATCAGCTTCTTCTTTCTCCAATCTAGCCTCTTTTTTCTCAGCATTAATACCTTTCTTCTTTTGGTAAGCCATATTAAGCTCTTCCTGAGCCTTCTGCATATCTTGGAATAGTCTGTTGTAGTCCTCTTTTAGTGCTCCAGAACTATATTAAAAGATGGATTTTAATTAATAAATAAATATTTGCAAATAAAATTTAACTGAAAATTAACCAGCTATAATTCAAATAAATTGCAACCCCCCAATCTCAAAAGATTAATAAAAAATTAAATAATTATAATTCAACAAAAAATACAATATATTCTTACCCACTAATTTCTTCGAAAAGAGAAGTCATTTCTTTAGGATTTTTCATAGCTACAGACTCAACTGCACCTTGAAATACAAGGAAATTCTTAGCTTTAACATTGATTTTTAGTTTTTCCAATTCACCAAGATATTCGTTTGATGTAACAACCTAAAAATATTCCCATAAGTTAATTTTTATACATTTAAAAAAAATAAAAAGTGTAATATATTGTACCTAAAAACAGTAGTATATAATTTACAATTAGGGCATTAATATATGTGCAGGCCTAAACAATATTATAAGGCTTGAATAATATTGTTCTGATTTGCACAATTAAACCATTTTAAAATATTACTACAAAAAAAGTTGGGACCCTAAAAACGAATTATTAATTAGGGTGATAAAATTTATTATAATTACATAAAGTTAGGCTGAAAATAAACACTTTAATCAGATGATTTAGAAAAAAATTACATTACATTCATACCTAATATTAATTTATAAAAATTATTGTATTTTTAAAAATGTAATTAAAAAAAAAGAACTTACATTGCCATCAATTCTATATTCTGAAGAAGATCCTTGAACAGATCTTTGAAAGGCCTTTTCTTTGCCACCATCAAGAAAAAACACAGCACAGACAGAAGCGCTATAAATAAAGTGGGATATTAAAAAGAAATGTTTTGAGAAAATGCTCTACAAAGAAAAATGAGGCAGTGAACAAATAAAAGTAACTTACTGTGTTAAAAACAATAAATAATTATTGTCCAGAGTCAAAATTTTAAAAATATTACTTTTTGTTAAATATTTGTATACAATTGTATACCTAGACACCTAAGTTAATAAATGAGCAGCAAAAAAGTGTTTTTATTATACACATATGAAATATATACTATTTTTAACAAGACATATTATACCTACAATACTTTTTCATCTAACACTTTTGGTATTGTAAAGTTTGTCATAAAATAAATAGCAATACTTTCATTTCATATCATTAAAAATAGGAAAAAATTATTATTCTTGCTACAATTTCTAATTAGAACATATGATAATTACCTCCTTGAAACTGGTCTACTTATAGCAGCTCCATGTATTAAATCACTTAATCTCTTCACTCTCAAACTTTGTGTTTTTTCGCCCATTACAAAACTGATGGCATCCATAAAATTTGATTTTCCTGAAACAATAAGTTTTTCCTGGAGCCAATATATATTTATTTTACATAATTATTAAAGAAGTTTGGCAGGAAATAAAAGGGGAGTCGTTACAAGTGGAATAAATGCCAAATTACTGTTTTATAATGGTACATATTGGAATTTTTATTTGAAGAATTGAATAAGGGTATCAATATAACCTATACTTTTTTAGGGAACCTATTAAAACTAATCAAAGACACAGGACTATTCCAAAGATAGTACCTGAATTCGGGGAAAGCAGGGGAATACAATAGACCCAAGAGGCCGCAGTGTTCTGGGCTAAACCTAACCCTACCTGCTTAAAACCGATAAAGATCCTATATTTTTAGTACATATGTTAATGTAAAAACCGGATTATCCGGGACATGCCCTCGTTACATTACCTTAGATAATCTTACATTTTAAAAGAATAAATTACATGTATTTACAGTATTTGTTTTATTCTACAAACATGACACTTTTAAATATTTTCATCTATACCTCTTTATATAAGATAAATTTGACCTCATTATAATTCTCTTTTTACTTGTCTAAGTAAAGTAAAAACTGTAAGCTAGTGCTGTTTAATACATTAATATTCTTTACCTGATCCATTTGGACCGATAACAGCATTAAATGGTTTCAAAGGACCTATGACTTTTCTTCCTCGATAGGATTTGAAGTTTTCTACCTCAATATGTTTCAATCTAGCAGCCATTTTAATAGCGCTGTTTTAGGAGTTTTCCAAATTTTCTAAATTAATAAAAACTTTTCTTTTGCATGAAAATGAATGGTTGAATACAAAAAGATATCAAACAAATATGGCGTTAATTTTTTAAAGCGGTTGGCTGACAGCTGACATTGACAACCGTTAGAAGTATGAAGACTAGAGATAAGGAGACGAATTGGCATACTCAAAATACGGTCCCAAAAACCGCATGCTAATTGAGCTTCTATAATTAACCGCATGGGCGCTGGTACTACATACGCTGTTCAAATTATGGGAATTACACATTTTATCAAAATAATAAAAATAAACTTGTTTATAGCTAAATAAAGCACAGAAAATTCTGTTGTATTTATTTCTAAATAAGTCTTGCATGTTTTAATTGATAAATTATTTAATTTTATCTATATAAAATACAAATTATGTACGTATGACCAAATTCGAAAAGGTTTCTTAAATGCTGAAATTTGTACATTTTTTTTTTAATTGAACTAATATATATGCCGCGTTTGAGAATCCACATCGGATGCATCTGAGATGTAGTAAATCTTTGATCACGTGATTCAGTATACGTAAATGTAATGGGACAGATGTGTCCGATGTGGATAAAAAAAATGCTCGAGATGTAAAAAATGCATCCTATGTGGATTCTCAAACGCGGCAATAGTTTTAAGAGTAAAATAAAACACAGTGAACAGATATTTTATTGTTGTAATACAACTATAAAAGGAGATTTGGGAATGTACATGGTATTACCTCATCCTTTAATTTCAGCTTTCCCCTTTTTATTTTGCTAACAGTAACATCAGTAAAAATAGTCTCAAAATATATTTGATAATATATTCTAAAAAGTATAAAACAGCGTCATCTCTAGAAAGTGCTTTATCGGCAGGAGAAACGATATATATGCTGCCACTGTTCTAAAAGTTTAGTATCCTATAAAAAACATTTACAATGACACAATTGGGTTCCAAAAAAAATATAACAGTAGCAACTCTTTATCTAACATTAAAACTATAAAAAATAAATTTTCTTTTCTAGTAAGTTAAATTTAAAACATAATTATTGTTGTTTGTAAGTCAGCATCTATAACTGTAAAATTTTATATTATAGAAACTTGTAATAAAATAAACTACACTTCGTAAGATACATTTGTGACTAGTTTACATTAAATATTATATATAGACATGAATTAATTATTTTACTTACATTAAAAGCTTTAAAAAGACATTGAATTGATTTCTTCTTCTGTTTTCTTTAGTTTTACATTTGATTTTTATCCTGTTTTACAATCTGAACCGACGTAAATCTTGCTTTGATGTTTTTTGTCACTCATGTTGCTTGTACTCAGGTACTTTTTTTCACATTATTTTGATTTTTTTATCAATTTTTTAAAAAATCACTTCATTTTTGACTTACACATAGAAAATTGACTACGCTGTCATTAGACATGCCAACTACAGTCTATTGCTGCGTTTGAGAATCCACATCGGATGCATTTTTTACATCTCGAGCGTTTTTTTATCCACATCGGACACATCTGTCCCATTACATTTACGTATACTGAATCACGTGATCAAAGATTTTTTACATCTCAGATGCATCCGATGTGGATTCTCAAACGCAGCAAATATTTTACCATTGCCGTTTCGCCTCCTTCTCTCTGGTCTTCATAGTTAAAAGTATGGTTCAAACATTTTGGGTTACATAGCCAAAAAAAGATGATTAATTGGAAATAGGTAATGAAAGGATCTTAAAAAAATACAAAATTAAATATATACGTATATAAACCCTCAAACAAATATGTTGTATAAATATATTATATAATTATTAGCTCGGAGAAAATAATAAGGAAAAGATATTCACATAAGACATAAAAAAAGAAGAAAACTGATGAGTGGCTGGTTGTTAGATCAAAAATTATATCTAAATCTAAAAGAAGAAGAAAAAATCTTACAGATACAGATAGAAAATAGTAAATGTAAATATACAAATAAATACCGAAACCTAATTCTAAATATTTGAGAGTTTATTTGCTGAATTTAAAACGAAAATACTTTAATCTCTTAGTGGTATGTTAGATTTTTATTTGGTTATGATAATCTTGACAATGCCATTTTTTTTAGTATCTAAATTGATGCAAATACCAAAAGGAATTATAAACAACAAAGCAGTTTTAATACAAGGAGGAGCGTAAAGAATAGAATGGATCATAGATTGGGAGCAGTTTTTATAATATGCTACAGTTTAACATCAAGATAAATCGAACAATCCTTTGTATTATAAAGAAATAAACATTTAAGAACCATGGAAGCTACTCAAAGTCCAATACTTAATTCGGATCTGTGTTTTTTAATACAAAGATTTCTATCTTCCAGTGTACTTAAAAAGACATTACAAGTATTTAATGAAGAGCTAGAGGAATCGAAAATATTACCAACACGCATAGACTGGGAAGGAAGACAACATGACCGCACTGTAGATGATATGATTAGACAGTTTCCAAATATTCGACCAGATTATTTGTTGCATCTATGTTATAAAGCAATAAAATCAGGTGATAATGTGTTGTCAGATAAAAGTAAATCATTTTTAACTTTTAGACCAAACAAATTTCAAGGTAATGAAATTTTGACAAACTTTAAACAATTTTATAATTATGTTACTAGAATTCATGGCGTCCCTATTCAAAATACTGAAAATTCCTTTAATCTTGTTAATTCTGTAAGAGGTAGAGAAGTTTCAGGACCTGTTAGTAGACAACGCATTACTACTTCAAAATTATATAGTTCCATGCAGATACAAAGGACCACAGTTGGGCATCTATCATCTGTCTATTGTTTATTATTTGATCATTCTGGGAAATACATTATAACAGGTGCAGATGATTTATTAATTAAGCTTTGGTCAACTTATACTGGTAGATTAATATCAGTTTTTCGGGGGGCATCATTAGAAATAACTGATATTGCTATAAACTCAGAAAATACTTTAATAGCAGCTGGATCTATTGACCGTATATTGAGGGTATGGAATTTACAAAATGGAGCACCTGTTGCAGTTTTAACTGGGCACAATGGCATGATAACTTCTGTAAATTTTTGTCCAACACAGTGCTTAGACGTTCGCTATTTAATAAGTACTAGCACTGATGGGAGTGTAGCATTTTGGCCTTATACATATGAATGTGCTGCAGAAGTTGAATTCAGAAATAATCCACTACTGTACCAAGAAAAACTTAGGCCTGGACAAGCACAAATGATTTGCTCATCATTTAGCCCTGGTGGTACATTTTTAGCAACTGGTTCTGCAGATCATCATGTTAGAGTATATTATATGAATGGAGATGAAGGTCCTCATAGGATATTAGAAATGGAAGCACACAGTGATCGAGTAGATTCAATTCAATGGGCTCATTCTGGATTAAGATTTGTTTCTGGCAGCAAAGATGGAATGGCAATAATTTGGTGGTTTGAAAGGCAGCAATGGAAAAGTATACATCTAGATATGTCCACCAAAATAACAAATTTAAATAAACAAACAGAAAATGATTCAAAAAAATTAAAAGTTACAATGGTTTGCTGGAATCTTTCAGATTATTGGGTAGTTACAGCTGTTAGTGATCACACTCTCAAAATTTGGACTGCTTCCAATGGACAAATAATTAAAAGCCTGACTGGACACAGCGATGAAATATATGTTTTGGAAGCTCATCCTCAATGTGATAATATTATCTTATCTGCTGGCCATGATGGACAATTATTCATTTGGGATATATTGAAAGGAGAAATCATATTCAAGTTTCTAAATAATATTGAAGGACAAGGATTTGGAGCTATATATGATGTTAAATGGAGCCCTGATGGATGTGTAATAGCAGGTTCAGATTCACATGGTCATATTTTAATATTTGGATTTGGACAGGGTAGTCAATTTTTTCAACAGCTACCACAAGAACTATTCTTTCATACAGATTATCGACCGCTAGTACGAGATTCTAATCATTATGTATTAGATGAACAAACTCAAATTCCTCCACATTTGATGCCTCCTCCTTTTCTTGTCGACATTGATGGTAATCCATATCCTCCTATGCTTCAAAGATTAGTCCCAGGTAGAGAAAGCTGTAATGTAAATCAGCTAGTCCCAAACATTGTTATTGGAAATGAGGGCACACAAGAGGTTATACAAGACCTTCCTCAAAATCATTTAGCTTCTCTAGAGCGAAATGAAGAAGAGATAAGAGAACAGGGTCCATCTTTTAGACTAGGACGAAGATCATCTATAAGAGAACATGAACGAATTAGACAAAGTACTGGAGACTGGCAAAACGACCCATCATTTGAATGGCAAAAGAATGTACTAGTTCAACCCCTTGGTAAAGCAGTTTCAGAAAGGGCAAGAGAACTAAGAGAATATTTGAAAGTAGCTGAAATGGAAGAATATCAAAAGCAGTTAAGACAGAGACCTCATATGATTAGCATAAATACATCCAGTAACATCAAAAAGAAAGAAGAAAAGGAAAAAAGGAAGAAGAAGAATAGTAAATACACCACCAGATCTGCAGTTACATATGAATATGATGAACCAGAATCTTCTGCAATCGAAAATGTTTCTGAATCATCTGATTCTTCTGATTGGACTGCAAGAAAACGAAATGACCATCGACCAACTAGATCTAGCAGGCGACAAGCAGCCAACAATTCGCGAAAACATGAATCTGAAGATGAAGACATCGAGGTCGAAGTTTATGAAGATGATGATTATAAAGAAGATGAAGATTTTGATGATTCTGTACCTAGTTATAGTAGATACAAAGAAAACGCAAGTAAGAACAAACAAAAAGAGAATAACAATCATAAATCGACAGAAAATAATTCAAATAAGACTAAAAAGAGAGTGAGCAGAAAAATGATTTCTAGGAAGAGAAATAAATTAAGTAATAGTTCTAGAAATAGCAGTAGTTCTTCTAGTAGTGAAAGCGAATATCAGCATTACAATGGTAACAGTTCTAGAGGCAATAAATCACTTTCAGAAATTCTTGGACCATCTACAAGCGGAATTCAAAAATCTTCCAAATTAACAAAAATATCTGAGCAGTACAGACTTAGTGAATGGCTATCAGAAACAAGGCCCAGAAAATCACCTTACTATCCTCAATTAGGAGACGAGATTGTTTATTTTGTTCAAGGTCATCAACTATATTTAAACGCCGTAGAAATGAAAAAAGTATACGAAATATGTATCAAAGAACTACCTTGGAATAAATTGAAAATAGAACCTCACGAATTTTGTAAAGTAATAGGTATTCAGTACGAAATCAAACCACCTAGGTTGTGCTGTCTAAAATTAGCTCTAATGGATGAAGAAGGAAGGTTAACAGGAAAAGGATTTTCAGTAAAATACCACGATATGCCAGACGTTCTAGATTTTATAGTCCTTAAACAAATTTATAACACAGCAATATCTAGAAATTGGAAAAGCAACAATAAATTTCGATGCATGATAGATGAAGAATGGTGGATTGGAGAAATTATCAACAAATCACCAGCAAGCGATGCTTTCCCACATTCCTCATTTCTATGTTACCAAATCAGATGGAATAATGGAGAAGAAGAAAGAATGAGCCCCTGGGATATGGAACCAATTGATAATGATAGAATACCAGAAGATGAAAGTCAATCAGTTCCAGTTCTTGAAGAAGAACTTTCATCCATACTTTATAAAACTTTAGAATGTGACTGGCCTTATAGCGATCTTACAGCAATTACTAAAAATGTAGTTACTGGACTAACTAGAGTAATGGAATTAGCTATAGCGGAGCCTTTTTTAGTTCCTGTGGATATAAATGTATATCCGAGTTACGCTATGGTTATAGAGTACCCCATAGATTTATCAACAATAAAATCTCGGTTTGAAACTAGGTTTTATAGACGTCTCATTGCAGCTCAGTTTGACATAAGATATCTAGCAACAAATGCTGAGAAATTTAATGAAAAACGCAGTAATATAGTCAAACATGCTAAAATTGTAACTGAACTCTGTTTGAGGATTGTAAGAAACTGTTCAATCAGTGTGGACGTACCTAGTCTCTATCATCTCCTTGTCAGTAATTACGATTCATCAGAATCAGAGCATGAAACGGAAATATCCCCTTCTACTAGTAAAAATTTGAGAGTTGTTATTAAAAGAAATGTTTGCGATGTTAATGATTGGAAAGTACCTGCTACGAAACTTATAGATACTTTATGCGCAAACGAAGATTCAATACCCTTTCGAAAACCTGTAGATTCAATTACATATCCTGATTATTATCAAATCGTAAAAACTCCAATGGATTTAAGAACTGTCAAACAAAATTTGGTGGATAATAAATATACCACTCCTCAGCAATTCTGTGGTGATGTCAGGTTAATTTTTTCAAATTCTAGATTATACACACCCAATAGAAAATCTAGGATTTACGATATGACTAGTAACTTATCTAAACTATTTGAAGAATCCTTTAAAAAAATACTTTCGAACTGGAAAGGAGCTACAAAAAGACAAAGAAAACGAAAATCGTTATCAAGCGGGGACTCTGATAACTCGATTACTTCCAATTCTTCAGATACAGGATCTGTACAAGAAGAAATTAATATCGAGATTGATGATGCTGATGATGATGATGGTAATGAAGATGATGTTGATGATAATGATGTTGGTAATGAAACAAAATCAGAATCAGATAGTTCGAGTGTAACTACAAAAGTAACAAAAAGAAGGATACGTAAGATTGATAAAGAATCTGAAGAAGAGTATTGTCCTAGAGAATCAGCCAGAAGAGTGACTTACAAACAGTCCCGAGTGGATTACAGACAATCTTCTTCAGAAGAATTATCTTCTAGTGATGAACGATTCGAAAATAAAAGGAAAAATAATTTAAGACAAAGGCGAGTACGACAAAAAGTCGTTTACGATACAAATAGTGAAAGTAGCGAATCCAATAAAAGATTAAAACGTATAAAAAGAGAGATAACCAGCTCTGACAGTGATAGTAGTAGCAAATCTTTTCAGACTGATGTTAGCAAACGAAAAGAAGGTACATTTATTTCAAATGTAAGCAGCAGAGGGAGAGTTAGAAAATTTACCGAACGAGCTAGAGCACTATTTAAGAAAAAATAAAGTATTTTGATATAAACTGTCGTTCAGTGACCCAATTGGTTGTTATTGGGAATGTTATAAGTAAAATAGTCGCTTATCTGACTGCAAAAAATGACAAGTCGCGTTTTTTGCTTGCTAGTTGGAAGGAGGTGAACCACATGTACTATGTTTCGGTGGTGGACGCTGTCAAATTCAAAAAAATGTTTTATCGATGGAGTTTTTCGTTTTTTGCTGCTAGATGTTTATAACTATAAAAAAATCCCTTTGCAACATTTTTTTGTCCTCTAGTTTTATTACTTTCAATATATAAGTGTAGAAATTTGCGTACATCAATAGAAGTAAAACCGGACGACAGAAAATGCTTGAAAAAGGATTTTTATTTATTATTATAGATGTCTAAAAGCAAAAACCGAAAAATTCCATCAATAAGAAACATTATTTTGAATTTGACAGGTTACACGACAGCTCCCACCATTGGGACATAGTACATGTTGTTCACATCCTCTCCCCTGTACCTAACTACAAATAGCAAGCAAAAAACACGACGTGTCACTTTTTTGCAGTCAGATGGAGGAGTAAAAAATTTTTTGGACTGAACCCATTCAGCAAACTAAAAATATTTTAAAACAACATTCCCCACTGCCATTTAGCTGGATTGCGTCAATACTAAATATAATTATCTTTGTAAAAAGAAGTTACTGAAAAAAATGGAAAAGTTGTATTTTTTAAACTCGTCATTTTGTAGAGATATGTTAAATATTGTGTAATTTATATTTTCTTCTTACATGTAAAAAGTATTTTTTGTAGTTTATCTTTATATTCCTTTGTAATACGTTGGCGCACTTTGTTATTTCAAATAAACAAACGAATATTTAAAAGTTGTTTTTTTATTATAGTCATTATAAGCCTATCTAGAAATTAAAAAGGTATTTAAATTTATATTTTATTAATTATAAAACCACATAATTATTTATCCAGGACAGTACCACTTACCGATTTTTTCTTTGTTATGTGAAATTAATTTCAAATTTATTTTTAACAACAACTTCTCCATAACCCCTCGTAACACAAGTTAAACGACGACCGGTCGCATCTTGATTTTTGCAAAAGCACGGCTTGCGCACCAGTCTCATATTTCTTCTACATTCACGCTAGTGAACTATAAAACGCCACTGCGGTCGCCCGGATCGTTCTTTCTAGCTTATCGAGTTCAATGTGATAGTTTGTGCCGATAAATTTGAGTAGTTTTTCCATAATTATCTTGTCTTTTTATGTTTATTGTGTGTTAACGTTGGAATAACTGTCAGGTAATGTTTCTATCGCCTTATATTATTCACACTTTGCAGTAATATAGTCAAACATACTAAAATTGTAACTGAACTCTGTTTGAGGATTGAGAAACTGTTCAATCAGTGTGGATGTACCTAGTCTCTATCATCTCCTTGTCAGTAATTACGATTCATCAGAATCAGAGCATGAAACGGAAATATCCCCTTCTACTAGTAAAAATTTGAGAGTTGTTATTAAAAGAAATGTTTGCGATGTTAATGATTGGAAAGTACCTGCTACGAAACTTATAGATACTTTATGCGCAAACGAAGATTCAATACCCTTTCGAAAACCTGTAGATTCAATTACATATCCTGATTATTATCAAATCGTAAAAACTCCAATGGATTTAAGAACTGTCAAACAAAATTTGGTGGATAATAAATATACCACTCCTCAGCAATTCTGTGGTGATGTCAGGTTAATTTTTTCAAATTCTAGATTATACACACCCAATAGAAAATCTAGGATTTACGATATGACTAGTAACTTATCTAAACTATTTGAAGAGTCCTTTAAAAAAATACTTTCGAACTGGAAAGGAGCTACAAAAAGACAAAGAAAACGAAAATCGTTATCAAGTGGGGATTCTGATAACTCGATTACTTCCAATTCTTCAGATACAGGATCTGTACAAGAAGAAATTAATATCGAGATTGATGATGCTGATGATGATGATGGTAATGAAGATGATGATAATGATGTTGGTAATGAAACAAAATCAGAATCAGATAGTTCGAGTGTAACTACAAAAGTAACAAAAAGAAGGATACGTAAGATTGATAAAGAATCTGAAGAAGAATATTGTCCTAGAGAATCAGCCAGAAGAGTGACTTACAAGCAGTCCCGAGTGGATTACAGACAATCTTCTTCAGAAGAATTATCTTCTAGTGATGAACGATTCGAAAATAAAAGGAAAAATAATTTAAGACAAAGGCGAGTACGACAAAAAGTCGTTTACGATACAAATAGCGAAAGTAGCGAATCCAATAAAAGATTAAAACGTATAAAAAGAGAGATAACCAGCTCTGACAGTGATAGTAGTAGCAAATCTTTTCAGACTGATGTTAGCAAACGAAAAGAAGGTACATTTATTTCAAATGTAAGCAGCAGAGGGAGAGTTAGAAAATTTACCGAACGAGCTAGAGCACTATTTAAGAAAAAATAAAGTATTTTGATATAAACTGTCGTTCAGTGACCCAATTGGTTGTTATTGGGAATGTTATAAGTAAAATAGTCGCTTATCTGACTGAAAAAAATGACACGTCGCGTTTTTTGCTTGCTAGTTGGAAGGGGGTGAACCACGTGTACTATGTTTCGGTGGTGGAAGCTGTCAAATTCAAAATAATGTTTTATCGATGGAGTTTTTCGTTTTTTGCTGCTAGATGTTTATAACTATAAAAAAAATCCCTTTGCAACATTTTTTTGTCCTCTAGTTTTGTAACTTTCAATATATAAGTGTAGAAATTTGCGTACATCAATAGAAGTAAAACCGGACGACAGAAAATGCTTGAAAAGGGATTTTTATTTATTGTTATAGATGTCTAAAAGCAAAAACCGAAAAATTCCATCAATAAGAAACATTATTTTGAATTTGACAGGTTACACGACAGCTCCCACCATTGGGACATAGTACATGTTGTTCACATCCTCTCCCCTGTACCTAACTACAAATAGCAAGCAAAAAACACGACATGTCACTTTTTTGCAGTCAGATGGAGGAGTAAAAAATTTTTTGGACTGAACCCATTCAGCAAACAAAAATATTTTAAAACAACATTCCCCACTGCCATTTAGCTGGATTGCGTCAATACTAAATATAATTATCTTTGTAAAAAAAGGTTACTGAAAAAAATGGAAAAGTTGTATTTTTTAAACTCGTCATTTTGTAGAGATATGTTAAATATTGTGTAATTTATATTTTCTTCTTACATGTAAAAAGTATTTTTTGTAGTTTATCTTTATATTCCTTTGTAATACGTTGGCGCACTTTGTTATTTCAAATAAACAAACGAATATTTAAAAGTTGTTTTTTTATTATAGTCATTATAAGCCTATCTAGAAATTAAAAAGGTATTTAAATTTATATTTTATTAATTATAAAGTCACATAATTATTTATCCAGGACAGTACAACTTACCGATTTTTTCTTTGATATGTGAAATTAATTTCAAATTTATTTTTAACAACAACTTCTCCATAACCCCTCGTAACAAGTTAAACGACGACCGGTCGCTTCTTGATTTTTGCAAAAGCACGGCTTGCGCATCAGTCTCATATTTCTTCTACATTCACGCTAGTGAACTATAAAACGCCACTGTGGTCGCCCGGATCGTTCTTTCTAGCTTATCGAGTTCAACATGATAGTTTGTGCCGATAAATTTGAGTAGTTTTTCCATAATTATCTTGTGTTTTTATGTTTATTGTGTGTTAACGTTGGAATAACTGTCAGGTAATGTTTCTATCGCCTTATATTATTCACACTTTGCAGTAATATAGTCAAACATACTAAAATTGTAACTGAACTCTGTTTAAGGATTGTAAGAAACTGTTCAATCAGTGTGGACGTACCTAGTCTCTATCATCTCCTTGTTAGTAATTATGATTCATCAGAATCTGAGCATGAAACGGAAATCTCCCCTTCTACTAGTAAAAATTTGAGAGTTGTTATTAAAAGAAATGTTTGCGATGTTAATGATTGGAAAGTACCTGCTACGAAACTTATAGATACTTTATGCGCAAACGAAGATTCAGTACCCTTTCGAAAACCTGTAGATTCAATTACATATCCTGATTATTATCAAATCGTAAAAACTCCAATGGATTTAAGAACTGTTAAACAAAATTTGGTGGATAATAAATATACCACTCCTCAGCAATTTTGTGGTGATGTCAGGTTAATTTTTTCAAATTCTAGATTATACACACCCAATAGAAAATCTAGGATTTACGATATGACTAGTAACTTATCTAAACTATTTGAAGAATCCTTTAAAAAAATACTTTCGAACTGGAAAGGGGCTACAAAAAGACAAAGAAAGCGAAAATCGTTATCAAGCGGGGATTCTGATAACTCGATTACTTCCAATTCTTCAGATACAGGATCTGTACAAGAAGAAATTAATATCGAGATTGATGATGCTGATGATGATGATGGTAATGAAGATGATGTTGGTAATGAAACAAAATCAGAATCAGATAGTTCGAGTGTAACTACAAAAGTAACAAAAAGAAGGATACGTAAGATTGATAAAGAATCTGAAGAAGAGTATTGTCCTAGAGAATCAGCCAGAAGAGTGACTTACAAACAGTCCCGAGTGGATTACAGACAATCTTCTTCAGAAGAATTATCTTCTAGTGATGAACGATTCGAAAATAAAAGGAAAAATAATTTAAGACAAAGGCGAGTACGACAAAAAGTCGTTTACGATACAAATAGCGAAAGTAGCGAATCCAATAAAAGATTAAAACGTATAAAAAGAGAGATAACCAGCTCTGACAGTGATAGTAGTAGCAAATCTTTTCAGACTGATGTTAGCAAACGAAAAGAAGGTACATTTATTTCAAATGTAAGCAGCAGAGGGAGAGTTAGAAAATTTACCGAACGAGCTAGAGCACTATTTAAGAAAAAATAAAGTATTTTGATATAAACTGTCGTTCAGTGACCCAATTGGTTGTTATTGGGAATGTTATAAGTAAAATAGTCGCTTATCTGACTGCA